TCCCCAATGGCCCCCCACCGGCCTTCCCCCACAGACCTCCCCCCACGGGCCTCCCCAAGGGACGGCCACTCCCAGCACTTAGGCCTCGCCTGCACTGTGGCCACACAGCAGAGGGCTGGCAGTGAGTGGGCCGAGGCGGCAGAAAAGACGGTGGAAAGAAAACACTTGAAGAACTTTTTCCACAGAAACAGTTTTAAAAGATCAACTGAAGAGTAACTAAGAATGAAGCTTTAGTGGAGAGCCAAGACCACGCCGTGGGGAAGGACAGTCTTTTCAACAAATGGTGCCAAGCAAACTGGATATTCACATGCAAAAGAATAAAGTTGGACCTTACCTTACACCATAGACAAAAATTAACTCAAAATGGACCACAGACCTAGGTGTAGGAGCTAAAACTGTGTAAGTCTTAGAAGAAAACACAGGGAAAGCTGCGTGACGTTGGATATGGCAACAAACTCTTAGCTATGACGCCAAAAACACGGCAACAACAAAAAATAGATAAGCTGGACCACATCAAAATTAAAGGCTGTGTGCATCAAGGATGTAATCATCGGTATGAAAAGGTCCTTTCAAATATCAAAATCACATTCCCACATCACACAGCAATCCCACTGCTGGAAGCACTCCCAGGTCATGGAAAGCAGGTCTCCAAGAGGCACCTCACACCCAGGCTCGTCATTCACGACAGCCACGGAGGGGACGTCACCAAGGGCACGTGGATGGGTGACGAATAAACAAAACGCGCTGTGTCGTCAGCGGCATATTACTCAGCCCAAAAAGGAAGGACATCTGACCCGTTACCGCGTGGCTGGGCCTCGAGAACACATGCCGAGTGAAGATGACCCCGTCCCTGAAGGACACGAACTGTGTGACCACTTATGTGAGGTGCCTAACGTGGTCAAGGCCATGGAGACCGAAAACAGGATGCTGGCGGCCAGGGGCTGCGGGAGGACATCTGGGAGTTACTGCTCCATGGGCACGGAATCTCAGTTCTGTAAGATGAAGAGAGTCCTGTGGAGACAGATGGTGGTGACAGCTGCACAATGTGAAGGAACTTAATGACACTGAAGCGTACACTTAAAATGGTTAAGATGGCAAAGTTTATACTATGTGTATTTTGCCATAATTTTAAAAAATGTGATGAGAAAAACAAAACGAACACTTTAGTGCAGGAGGAAACTGGAGACTTTTCTATCTATTTAGGCAGCGGCATCTCCAGCCACATGTTCCGTCCGGTTCTGGGCCCCGCACACCCGGCCTCTGTCTGGGGCATCAGCCGTAAGCCGGCTCGGAAAGGACTTGTTTACAAGGGTGTGCGGGGCTGGGCGGACCAGCTATGGAAGGTGCTGTCACCACTCTCGCCCCTAGGCTGTCAGGGGAGGGAGCGGGTGAAACCAGAGAGAGCTGGACCCAGAGAGAAGCTGTGGCTTCTGCTGAGAGACGCTCACAGGCCAGCCCCTGCGGCCCTTGGCAAGGAAGCTTAGCAGCTGCCCTGCCTGCCAATGGCCCGGCTCACCCTCCACACCCCTCCCAGTGGGGCAAGAGTTAGGGGACATCTGCCCTACTCTCAACAATAAAGATACCATTTTTTTTTTTAAAAAAAAGAGAAAGAATAGTAGCACTAAAGTACAAGGATACAAATAAAAATAAAGAGCCAAAATGAAGAAGAAAAAAAAAGAGTATCCCCATCTAGAAACATCCCCCAGGCTAGGCTGACATGCCGACTGGGAAGCTGGCCTGTGAGCCTCCGAGGGCAGCCCCCGGGCATTTGGCCGTGTGCCCCGCACACACCCTCAATGACCCCTTCGCCCTGACTTCCCACTGCATTCTCAGCACAGCCTCCCAGCTCTCCCAGCTCAGACCTCAGAGCATCTCGGACCACCCCTGAGGCTCCTGCCTCAGCTCAGTGCTGCCAGCCTGGGAGCCCGGACTCAGCAGGGGTCCTGCGGGAGCCCAGCCGCCTTCTCCAGCAAAACCGGGCGCCCTGCGGCCTTCGCCTGGGGAAGTGCCTCCTGGAGCTCATGCCTTCCCCAGTTCCTGGCAGACGTCCAAGTTCAGCTGGGACTGGTCACTCCCTGTGCAAAACCCCTCATTTTAACTTATTTTAAGCTACAGGCCAGGCATGACGTTCAGCAGTTTCCAGACATGATTTCCTCTGTGTCCCAGTCTGCCCCGCGAAGGTGAAGCAGCAACACCCGCCCGCTGCAGGACCCACCGCTCCTCCCTGTCCCAGAGGCAGGACTGCCCAGCGGACCTTGGCCTGGCCACGCCACGCTTACCACCACCTGCCCTGCTCACTCGGCCTCATCGGGGCCCCCAGCCCTGCCCTGGGCCTTCCCCAATAGGGTTCTGCCCCCTCCTTTGAGGCTCAGGCCAGTCAAGGCTGTCTCACAGGGCTTTCTGATACCCTCACCTCTAAACCTCCAGAACATTCAGTAGCTCTGTGGTGACATGTCCATGTCCCGCCTGCTCCTGACAGAGCCACTCCAGCCTCCCTCCCCTTCCCACTCCCC